TACTCTGGTAATGTAGATTCAACTTTGATCAAATCATTCCCCCGAAAGGTTTCGCCAAAATTGGAGATAAAGCCTTACATGGTATTATATTATATGGGAAAAATATTAAAAAATCTTCTTAAGTACTATAAAGCCATAATAAATCTTAGTGTGTAAGAATCCTCAGGTTTAGGTCAGGATCTCCAGAGGCAGGTTTTACAAAGAAATATGTCGGAAAAATCTTTTCATTGGTAAGTTTTAAATATCTTCCTCCTGAGAGAGAGAGAGAGAGAGAGAGAGAGAGAGAGAGAGAGAGAGAAAGAGAGAGAGAGAGAGAGGAGAGAATGTATCTCTTGAGGGTGTTATGGCTCATGCACCACTTGTTGAATCAAATACAAAGGAACCTCACTGCTCACAGTGTACAATAATGTGATCCTTTCACAAATGAGGTTTCAAGCTTTAATTTATGCAACAAAATAATGTAATTTGAAAGAAAATTAAGCACAATTGTGATAAATTTTGTGTATTGTACTGTTAATAATACTGTTTTTATATTTTCTTGCAGACGTTGAGCCATATAGTGTATGGAAAACTTCTATTTCAGGTTAGCTTGGCTTTATTATCATTTTATAGCTCATCTAAGATGCAAACTCGTGGTCTTTTCTGATCACATTTTATCTGAAGTACATCTGTCCGTCTGTAAGGCTGTCTTTATGTCTGTGACATAGGTTATTACTTTTGTATGGAAGCAAACATGGTTTACATATATTCAGATGTGCATTACATGTACTTGTGACAAGACCTTTCAGAAATTTTATGATTTTTTACCTCATTGCTTTGAAATCTGAACTACTATCGAAAAATATCAGTAATTCTTTTGGCGAAATGTATTTCAAACGAAGAGACACAGCTTCCCTATCTTCTAAAATGCATTACCTGTAATCAGAATTTTCCAAATAATTGTGATTTTTGACCTCACGCAGGTATGTTAAGGCAGTACCCAGATCATATTTCGGCGAATTTAGACTTTTATCGTATAATGTAACAATAATAAATCGGAAAAGCCTTAGATAAAACATTTATTCTTATTATCCATTGTATAGACGTCATTGAGTCTTAGGCTAAAAGAAGCACTCCGCTACGACGTCATCACGTGACGTTTATAAATAGAAAAATTGCCTTATTGAAAAAGTGAAAAGTTCAACACTACCCCGGAGCTAATTCATTTCTTTTAGTGAAAATAATTATGTAAAAACATCACTGGGTCATGAAAAGTGATGCTAGAATCGTACTCTCCCGGCACAGAAAAAAAATATTCCAAAGTTTCGCATGAAACCTTACGAAATATTTTACATTTTATACATACGATCAAGGAATTGTTATCAATTCATGTTAACCACACGATTCTAGCAGCACTTTCCAAGTACTACAGAATAGAAGCTTTCGATAGAAACAAAAATTATGTTTCAAAGTATGCGGCGTAGTGTTGAACTTTTGCATCTTTGTTGACAAAGAGCGACAGAGAAAAGGCTGATCGGGATTTCAAAGCACTGCCTGTGTTAATAAAAGAAAACATGAAAAGAATATATCAGCGTACCTGATTTTTAATTTTTAATTCCTTATGAATCACACATAACATTCACGGTATATGCCTTTAAACTCCCATTTCATGTATTTGTTTACGTGAATTCTCGTCACGTTTAATTTCACTCGGCAAATATTTGATCAATAGTTATGACGTCATGGGTTTGGTATTTAACCCCCGTCCTAAATACTTAGCTATTTATACCACTCAAAACGACAAGATTTAGTATATATTATGTTTTGAATGATTTTATTCATTTTTTTGACCTGAAATTAAACTTTAAATATAAATATTAAGAAATCATTATTTCTGAAGTTAACGTCATACAGCTTACTATGACGTCATATTGTAAAGGCAAGTAGGATATCTCTGTGGGTGTAGCCTTATGGTACCAGCGCATGACAGCATTAATCTTGGCCGTAACTAGAACAAGTTACTTAAAAAATTCCACTTTTGTGCATGTATGATGGGAAGACAAGATTATGGAAAGGTCCATAAATCATTGTACCTCAACCAGTAGCACCCCTTAAGTTGGGACACAATAGTCATGCATAATTTTCTAAATTATCAAAATCTAATTTTTTGCTTGATATTACAAATTACCATTTGTTTAATTTGCCAGAATATGTCTATCTCATATACATATGTAAGTAATAAAAAAAATATACATTTTAATCCATCTTAAATTGAAATAGATTGCAACCATTAATAACAGCGATATATAAAATATCTTTATACATGTATTATAGCTTTATTTTAACCCCATTAACATCCGAAATGACATTTGGTTCCACCACAGACTATACGTTACGTATATCCCAGAGTGCATAATTGCCGTCTAACAAGAATCATCCAGCGTGAATAATGGCGTGATGGCGTGAATCTCGATACTTTGATAAACCATTATCATTCTCTATAAATATTTTTATGACTTTGCAAGTTTATACATACATGTTTTCTGAGTGTAAAGGAGGTAGTGGTGTGAGGATAAGGTGCTTTAGACACTGTTTCAGTGGGAGACCAAACATATTGCTTATCTTACAAAAAATGTTTCCAATGACGTTTCCGTATTTAAAATTAAAAAGTGATATCTGAGTATATTTTGAACTTAACATATTTCTATTACAGTAATAAAAGAAAACATATGGAAGAATTTTTTTACGTGCCAAATTGCTCAAACTATAAAACAGATACTACTGTACATGGACATTTACATAAATTATTTTATGTATGATTCTTGCTTTAATTTTTTAAGACCAGTTCTCCAGACTGACTGATAAAGAGATCGCCATGCTATTTTGTTTTCTGTGTTCTGACTCCGGTCCTCCTAACTTCATGAACACAGAGTGGCTGGAGATGCTTAATGGAATACGACAGGACGTGTTCAAATTACATTCTGCTGTAACAAGTAAAGAAGCAAAGCAGACACTTCAAAACAACTCTTGTGATTTTTTGTGGGTAGACCAATCATGGAAGCATCTCACCAAATTTGCAAGGGACGAGATCATGTATTCAATATTACGTCGTATAGATACTACTGACGTCATGTTTTATTTATCCAGTTTCATCACGACACAGACATATCTCAGATCACTGAGATACAACAGAAAGCCTGGCGAAAATTGTGTCATTGGTACCTCTTATTACTGTGATTCCTTACTGATACGCCGTCTACAGATGAACATATTGACACACGTCACCATGGAGGACACAGAGATCTTTAATGAAATATCTCAGAGCTGTAAGTATATAATATAAATGATATTTATTATTATTACATATTCAAAAGTGAAATACTATAATTTATCCATTGATTAAAAGTCATATCTAAAAGAGGACTTATATATTAAAAAATGTTAAACAAACACACTGTATATACTGTACAATCTCTGTCATATGTAGGGAGAGTAAGTGAACCCTCCTGAAACAGACTAAAACTGCTAAAGTTTTTGTTTAAACAATCCATGTGAACAAATTTTCAATCTTATAATCGCTTAGCTATGATGCCTCACAGCCGTTCCAATACGACGTCACAACGTAAAACCTTAAATGACAGTCAAGTCAAAGAAACTGTACTTCACAGAATTTCACAGAAAATTCAGCAATAACTTCTATCTCTTCTAGTCAAGATAAGCTATCACATTTTGTTGTGATAGCTATCTCGACATGATAATTTATCTTGTATCTTGACTACAATTGTTGCGTTGACAAGTACTGCATCTTCTTTATTGCAGTCACAATTAATGTATCTACTCGTACATGTATGTTTTTATAGATGCCTTCCTATGGGTATCTCAGTCTTGTTCCAGTTTAAACTATGCGGATCTCTTTTACTGAAATTACTCCTCAAAATCACAACTGCTGTAGAATTAATTTAAAATTTGTATTTGTCTATTTGAGGAGCATATTTTTGGAGATAAAGATTTTCATAGAAATCATTCCATGCTTTTTCAGACAAATATGAAATAAATTAACCAATTAATCAAATTTAAAAAAAAAATCCATTATTGGTCTTTTCTGAGTTATTGGCATGAAATAAGTGAAGCAATTAATGCATAGATTCATTCATTTAGTAAAAATTTCTTATCGGTGTATCATAGTCAAGTACTGATCTCTGATAAACGAAAAAAAAATATGTATACTTGTATAAATAGCAAAACTATTGAATTATTGATTGCAATTATAACATGTAATTAAAAGAAGACAAGTTGGTTTGGTTTAAAGTATTTGTATTTTATTAACTGAAAAAAGAGAAACACACATTGGTTCCAAATAAATTCATTTGAAATTATGCATGCAATTAATACTTATTAGAATAGAGATCCGCATATTTCACTGGAAAATGACCGAAACACTCGCAGAGCATCATCAATATACATTTCTGGATTGCAATTATGAAGAGGCAGTAATTGTCAACACAACAATTTTAGTCATGATACAAGAGAAATCATCTCGTTATGTCGAGATATCTATCACAACAAAATGTTATAGCTTATCTTTACTAGACGAGAAGTTGTTGTATCTCGACAAAACTAGCAAGTTATCTTGACTTGATGCGATATCTTATGTTGACAAAAAATTATGTGGATGGCATAAATATGCCACCATAGAATAACTTTGATTTAATGGTAGTCGGGGTAATTTAAACATTAAGATGGACAGACGGAAAGCGGGCCCCCCCATCAATAAACATTAAAGTGTGTGTGTGAGGGTGTGTGTGTGTGTGTGTGAGGGTGTGTTTGTGTGTGTGTGGTAATTAGCGATTTCAACCAATGCAGAAAAAATACATAAGCCGTGTAATATTAACCTATAACTTTTATTTATAAAATATTAATACTTTAGTGATGGTGCCCATGGATACCATACGAGGAACAGAAAATGAACGGAGAGAGTTTTTTGAGAATTTAAAACGGACAGGAGAGGTTATGCATAATAATAGGAGATCAGACAGTGTTCAACATGTGAAATGGCTGTGGAGATACAAATCGGACGCTAAACCTGACATCGTGAAATCCTGCATAGGCCTCCATCCTCACAGTGACATCTATGTTATAAATAACATGGCTTATAGAAAATCAAGTGAGTGGGAAAGTAATTTTTGATAGCTTTAAAAATTATATCCATAACAGGGAATCTTACGTAAGCCGTAGATTTTAACATGAAATTTTGAATTTAAATTTAGATGCACTAAGAGTCTCAAGGTTTAAATACTGTGCAGGAGACTATCCGCTCTTTTGCGAATTATTGAAAACCCTAAGTCTGCTTTTCTTCGAATACTTAACATTTTCCGCGAATCGATTTACATTTTTTTTTGGTGCGATCTCATACATCATGTATTTGACCACACGAAGAATGTAACTACCTGCTTTTTCACTTAAGACGCGGTTGAGCATTTTGTGCAAACTAGTATATACATATCTTTAAATGTTATCTAGAGGAGGCAAAACACTACTTAAGTTCATCATTGCACTATCTTCTAACAGAGCCTTTGCTTACAAAACCAAAACAGAGAATGCATTCGTTTTGTGCTAATGCCCATTCGTCAGAGAAGCAGTTGTCAAATTATCGAGTAGATTGGGTTTATACTAGTAGCTCGCACAGGCGTGAATATTTTTTATATTTTTGGATAAAACACTTCCATGGATCATTATAAAAAACACTTGATGAAATCTCGCGCAAGCTCAGAAAGTATTTTTTCAACTGGTGTCGGACGGAACATTTTATCTAAGTAGGTTCTAAATTATTGGTTAAAAGAATTACTTCAAATTATCTTAGGTTCAAAAAAGTTTATAAAGCTTCTATACAACCGACGTATTTTTAGCAACTGAATGCCAGAAAATACTTGAGAAGCAAAAAATGCATAAGAAAACTAGAAAAAACTCTCCTCTAGTGAGAGGAATGGGGGAGGCTTTCAATGTAAATTTCCATACTAAATCAAAAGTAAATTGCTTTCTCGTCAAAGTAGGGGCAGCAGCCCCCCACCCCCACCCCCTCAGTAAATACTACGTGCCTATTCAAGTTAAATTTACTTATATCCACGTACAAACTGGTATCCATATTTTTTGGCGTTAAAACAGTATACATACAAAGTCTGGGGCACTAAAACGTAAGAGAATCTTAAAAAAAAGTTGTATTCGTGAAACACTAATGCCCCCCTAGCAGCTCATGGCGAAAGTTAAAGTTTCTCAAATACAAGTCAAACTCAAAGGTCAAGAGATAAAAAAATATTGGTACCTTGGGGAAAGTTTTGTCTCAAGGAATATACAAACATGTAAGCCCTAGCACCAACCGTTGAAAAGTTATGTCGAAAGTTAAAAGTTTTCCAAAATAGGTCAAACCCCAAGATTAAGGTCAAAGGGTCAAAATTGTTGGTACATGTACCCAAGGGAAGGTCTTAGTACACGAAATACATATGTGAAATATGAAAGCCCTAGCTCTTACTGTTCAAAAGTTAAAGACAAGGTTAAAGTTTTTAAATGTAGTCCAAACTCGAAGTACAAGATCAAAGGGTCAAAAATGTTATTTCCCAAAAAGATTTTTCTCAAGGAATACACATGTTAAGCATGAAAGCCCTATCACCAATCGTTCAAAAGTTATGACGAAAGCTTAAGTGTTGTAAAATTTTTGCTAAAGTGGGACAAACTCTAAGGTCAAGAGGCCAAATACGTTGTTACCCAAAGGAAAGTCTTTTCACAACTTAGCTCTGCTTTACAGGTTTCCCGAAGCTTCAAATACCTTCAAAACATGCTATTGCAATGCGATGTTAGTTTTGATTTCAATTTGTGTTTGTAAGTTATGAACTTAAGTTCAGCAAATTCATATAGAGATCTCTCTCGGCTATATATTATGATATTTGTCGTGATATTATTGAGCGGTTATAATTTTTTGAAGTACTTGAAATAAATTGCTTCGGCACAGCCAAATAACACACTTAATCAAGTTGTTCAAATCATGACATTGGATAAAGCCAGAATATAGTATCAAGACAATCTATAGGAAAATAGAGGGGATCTCATTTTTATAACCACAAGGCTTGTTGGTTCTAGGTGAGCGTTGTGTTCTGAGGGCCTCTTGTTGTTTTCACGACCACCCAGAAAAGTGAAAGAAATGACAGTATGACAGTCATACTTTGTCTGCAGATCTACACGGTAAAAAAAGAGAAACTACTAAGTCCTACTTTTCTCACAGTTGGAAACTTCATAACACAAATTTTCTTATATCTTAGATATAATAGCATCACGGTGTTTTTAGAGCATTTCAGACTGATATACCCCTCCCCCCCCCCCCCCCCCCCCGGTATTATAAAAGCGAATTTATAAACTTGTTTTCTGTGAAATGTTCTAAAACTACAAATTTCAGGACGGGTTTGATGGACACACATCCTTGCACTGTCACGGAGTAATCAATTCTATTCTTAAATATTGAAGAAAGTGGAAATTTTGCTGTGTATTATGAGAAATATTAAAACTCTTATCCAGAAAACTCAGAGTAGGAATGCTAGAAAGCAAAATCAACACACCATTGCTGGTTCATGTTCAGTGATGTTTGCCGAGTTAACAAATGGAATATATCCAGTAGAACGTAAATATTACCAATAACAGGGCTCGTACCCATGTTTACAAACACAGATGTTTGACCTAATTTTATGAAGAAATGGTGTTATCTTTGATTTTTTTCAACGATCTTTGATCTTTGAATGTGCATGTAAGTTCTGTTTATTAAACCAGATTCACAAGAAATAGAAATTTGAATTTGTAAACAAAACAGCAATGCAACAGTGTCCAGGTCTCTTTAAGAGATAATAAGTAATTTGAAGAAAAAAAAAACACGCGACGTGAAGGTAGGTCCTTATTTGAATGACGTTATCATAAGTAGTGCTACTTTTCACTGGGTTGAAAAAATATATTTTTCATTATTAGATAGTGACGGAAGAAATTAATAGACCTTGTTTTAATGAAATTGTATTTATGTAGTAGCAACACAGTGAACATTTGACTGCGTGCCTAAAAAGGTTTTGAGATGAACTACATTCACAGCAAAAAAACATCTATTTTTACATCCACTGTGCCATTACACATACAAATCTTGTTACAATGAATGCAAAATATACAAATCTTATAGACAAAGTATAATATTCCTTTAATAATGACTTCTATTATTTTTCCAGAGCAAAAAAAAAAAAAAAAATGAATAAAGAAACTTAAGTATTTTGTGAAGACACATATTTCAATGAAACATTTTTCGTTGATTGATTCAAATGGGAGCATACATGTTCTAGATCTTACAGAGGTAATAAAAAAGCTGGCAAAGTGCTACATTTTCATAGCTTTTTAAATCCATTAAATCTAAATCTAATATTCGTTAGAAGTAAAAATCTTCATATATAGGTGGTTAATGACTTAAATATGAAAATAAGCCCGAAACTGCCTATTTTATGAAAATTATGAAATTCTGTATTCGTTTCCGTCTTATTTTCTTATTTTTATCAGTCAATAAATGTAACTTACACTAATTATTAATTTTTCTGATGAAAGAAATAGGTTTAAATTTACATGTTCATGTATGTATTTACATTTATGTTGTATATCGAGATTTGAGGATTATTGATTTTGGTTGACACCGTATGAAGAAAACAGGAGTTTATGCCTGCCGTAGACCCTGGTCAAAATGAATCAGTCAATCATGTATTTTGGGGGCTTTAAATTTCATTTCAAGGTCTTTCTTTAATGATTCGAAAAAAAAAAAAAATACAACGATAATAAAAAAAATGGGAAATAGGGTCCACATTCAATCAATGCCTAAGGCTGAAGACAGTTTATATGTTTTACGTCAGATTTTTTTTTTATCAAGAAATTATTATGTTTTATGAAAAACGTATTGTATTGTATATTTGCAGTTAAATATCACAAATACAAAGCAGACATCAGATGTCTCTTGTACTGTTTACTGTTGGTTGAAGAGTACACACTAAATATCAATGAAGATGCCTACATGACCATGCTAAACAAGCTCAGAGAAAGATATTTTAACAATGTGGCCATGTCTGATGTCATAAGGACTACAGTCCCCCCTGATGGAATCGTACATATAGAAAACGATCAGATAATGTTTGCATCAGATACTATCCGACATGACGTCATGTACGCCTTTGTTACGGAGTGTTTGGTAGAGGACAGTGATCTGGAGTTTTTCCTCACCACGGCATCACGTGACGTGATATCAGAATACTGCCGGTCCTGGGAATACGAGAGGAGTGAGGAAGAAAGATGTCTGTTTGTACCAAGAATACCGGAGAATATGTACGACATCTTCATAAACAAACTACAGCTGGACATCATCACACACGTTACCGTGTCTGACCAAAATATTCAAGGCAGGATCAATAAACACTGTAATTATCATACAACATCCTGATTTTAATTGTTTCTCATGGAGTTTCAAGGTCAAGATCTAGTAAATGAAAGGTGATACAAATTTCTCAAATTTCAGAAATGAATTTCTTTAAAGATGCTTTATAACATATACATTTGGAAAACAATGTATATCGGGGCTTAATCTTTTGGTTCAATCAACAAAAAAACATAATTTAAACTGTCACCTTCAATGAAAAATTAAGAAAATCAAATAAAGATGTTTTTTTCCATAGCAGACAATAGAAATGTATCGATATTGCCTATAGTCCCTAAGAAAACGGTAAATCTTTTCTTGACCTCTCCTTTGAAATGAATATAGGTATCGAGATTGCTTTTGACATGATTTCAAATTGAATTCCATAAAAAAGCCTTTATTTTCTACATAATTGTAATCAAGCGGTAAAGTACGGTAAAAAGTAAGTTTAAATTAATTATGACGTCATAATCCATTTAGCGCCAAAAAGACAGTCTAAGCTTATTTACTAGTTCTTGACCTTTAATTAATCTCGTTCTATCTTGAATTACTGTTTATAAGTTTTTAGATATGGCTAATTGATTCTAATTTAATAATGTACGTTTTATATTTTTTGGTCAGAATGGATATTAAGTGATAAGCCGCTCTTTTTTTTGTATTCAATATAAAAAAGCAAGTTCCTTTTCTAACTCTAGAGTCCTGTATCCTGTAAAATGCTACAGTAATTTGCCGATTTTCATTTTAACAGATGTCTTGGTTAAAAGATATTTACGCATTGAAACGTTAATATCAGAAGTACTCCTTAATCTAATTTGGCATTGTCTCTGTTTTACTGTAACACCATACTAGTATGTAATTCTTGTTCTGTACAGTGGGTGTCCCTAGAGAGGTATTACAATGGGACCAGGAGGCAAGAGAACGATACGTGAAGTACACAAAGAGAGGAACACAGGCAGTCCACCATGCCCGGGGGATGATTGTAGGGTGTGCTGGGGCTGGGAAAACCACGCTCCTGAAACGTCTACTCAATCCAGAGGAAAAGGAGATACCGAATGTGACATCAACAGAAGGCCTAGAAGTACACGAGGAAATATTCGAAATTTGTGATGGAAAACTGAAAAGTAAGGAGTACTTTGTTTGTTGATACAATACGCAGGTTTAGATTGGAAAGTAGAAATTGCAATACGATGTACTGAATATACTATTACTGCAGTGATTATTGTTAAATTTTGAAAAATCGTTTCCTATATAAATCTACCAGATAGAATTCAGTGCAAACGCGAGGAATTGAAATTTCTACCACTGGTATCGGCACAATTTCAGTGTATCGTATATTTTCTGGTGACAGTCAATTACAGTGTTATAGGATCTTAGCCGAAGGCATCCGTTTAACCTCACATATATGAACAATACCATGTTCATTTATTGACGTTTTCTCTTTACATGTGAGCAGATTTATTGTTGATACCTCTTATTTGTACATACCCAAGTACTAGACTTCGGGTTCGACTTTTAAATCGTTCGATAATTAAATATATTCACTACTTATAGTGCTATTAATTGCTTGCTACATCATTCTTTCCAAACCAGTTCACATTAATGATTTTTTGTATTCATGTAATACTGGTCAATCAACTCGTTTTATTACTTGTAAACATAGGTTCGATGCCAAGGCGCTCAGGAAGGTTTTGCAGAAATCGTCCGTAGTAAAAAAAAATCTTCATACCTACGGCGACTTCTGCCAAACCTTCTTGCTTCCTCTGTCTTGTTAAGGGTAGTACATGAGGTGAATAAAAAATATTTTTGAACATTAGAAAAAATTAATTATAATTCTGATGTAATCCATTCCTACGAATGACATAATTATTGCATGAGTTAATGTGAATAATCATTTTAGAGTACAGGAATTTCTGTAAATAATATCTTTCATGTATTTACATACATCTATTATTTCTTTTGTCTATTTATCGATCCATAAACGCCGCTAAACTAGTTACTATAGGTTTTTTAAAAGTAATTTGTATGAATTCTTGTGCAGTGTTCTTTTTAAACAATTAAGCATACAAAATGTGTAGATCAATGATGCAATATTTTAAAAATATCTGTTCCTCAGCTAGAACCAATAACTCATAAAATTTTATTTAATTGAACAGTCTCAAAACGAAGCATGAAAATGAAATTTTTGAAATTTTTCATGCAACAAGTTTCATTCCATGCACCTCGACACAATTCAAGGCTTTTGAAAATCTTAGAAACGGCCTTGTAAATAATTGACATTTGCACCCCACAAAAGTACAAAAATAAATGCATTTCTTGAAAATTCTTAAATTGTATATCAATGCTTCTAGAATATAAAAATTTTAATTGATCTATGATGTCTTTCAATGATAGCACGATCTTTTTACGCTATGAATGATACATATGTATAACAATTGAAGTTAAATAGGATTATTATGAAAAACACATAATTTTCTCCAAGCGCCTGCATTACTTCAGTTTTCTTTTATCCAAAAATATAAATGCTGATCAATTTTCAATTAGAAAAATTAATGCATAACTGGTGCTTGTACTCGTGATTCCTGAATATATATTTGAGATTTGATTTTTCCTTATGTAGTATTATTAACTATAATGATGAACTTTGAAGAAATACCATGGATAAATTCAGCTGTATTTTGTGAATTCAGAGACATTCTTGTGAGTATTTTCAATAACGTCATATAAAGCCTTCCTTTGAAAGTTTTCACATCTTCCTTCTTTCCTTTTTACAATAACAGTTAAATCAAACACTGACAAGCATATTTCGGAAAACAAGAAGCCTGGGGATATGAATAATTCTTTAGAAGAGGATATAACCAAAACATTGAGTTTTTTTGACTTTGGAGGACAGTGTGCATACTACGCCTGCCACCAGATTTACCTGACCAGGAGAGCTTTCTACATACTGGTAGTGGATGCCTCCAAACATCTATACCAAGAAGTGGATAAGAATACATGCGACCAGGAAGATACTGTTTTTAATGGTTGGACATACAAAGGTTTGTTACTCGTACATATATAAATCCTGTATAAATTGCTCTTTTGCAATCTAACTATTGTATAGATGTTTTCCTTGCAGAATTAATTTTATAATTCCACCTGTTACTCTATATATATATATATATATATATATATATATATATATATATATATATATATATATATATTGTAAGACTTATTTAACATAGAAATCTTCGATTTGAAATTTATTTCGTCATAATTCTTCTTTTATCTCTTTATGCTGAAGAATCAAAGAGCTAATGATATGGCAAGACCTGCGATGTGCGTAATTTCTTGGAATGTGGTTCTTATCTAAAGAACCAATTTTTATCAAATTTTTCACAGAGTATTTTTTGGCCATGGGCTTTCATTTAAAAAAAGTAAGATGTGACCTTTAACTGGAAGATTAAAAAAGTGATTGCTAAAAAAAAAAAAACACGAAAAAGATAAGTTTTAAAGTTACACATGAGGATAAGGCAATATTGTAGACTAAAAATCGTTCAAGACTTTACCCAAGAGCAAAAGGGCGTGGTCTGAAGGTCACTTTACAATTGATTTGAAATGATGTTTTGTTAATACTTTGGACATTTGCACATTATGAGAACTCGAATTATCAAATCTTGTCATGCAGTTGATCTGCATGTTTATTTTGCATTGTTATCTTTTCTCAAAAATACCAGCGGTGACTTACCTTTTTGAATTTTGCAAGTATTCATGCTTAGAAGCATTAAACATTGTCAGTTGAAGCATCTTTGGTCCTCAGGACGTATAGAATATTTAGGTATAACATTGAAACTCTTAAGGTAGGTCAGTTTGACCTACAGTCTGCATTTCAAGGCTTTATCAAGGAGTCTTAAAGGCTTAAAATCATCACAAAGTTTTCAGGTGATGCATCTTTGGTCTTTAAAATATGTCAACCAAAATTTGGTCACAATGACCTACTTCCAGAATTTCAAGGCTTTATTTAATTATTATCGATACAAAGAGGCTTAGAATTATCAAACCATTTCAGTTGATGCACCCTGGGTTCTCGGAGTGTGTCAATTCAAAAATTAATTTAAAAAAAACTGACCTACTTCGGATCATATATTTGTGCTGAAATGTTTAATCAACAAATATCTCAAGACTGGTGATAAGAAACTATATGCCTGTTTGTTGATTTTCGAAAGGCATTTGATAAAGTTATTCATGTTGGCATTATGTATAAATTGCAATCAAATGATATCAGTGGGTATTTTTACAGATTTTAAAATCTATGTAGAAGAATGATAGATTATGTGTGAAAGTAAATGATAAAATAACAAATTTTTTCACATCTAGGGTTGGAGTTAGACAAGGTGATATCCTTAGCCCAAGTTTATTTAAACTCTTTATAAATGACCCCCCAAGTATTTTGGATGATGATTCTGTTCCTGTTACTCTAGATAAAAAAAAGATTTCATGTCTCCTGTATGCTGATGACCTTGTTTTAATATCCAATACGGAATCAGATCTTTAACATAAACTCAATCTCCTCCATGATTACTGTAGTGAGTGGTGTCTAGAAGTAAACATTAAAAAAACAAAAGTAATAATTTTTAACAACTCGGGTAAATTACTAAAGGAAGCATTCCATCTGGGTAATGATATTATAGAATGTGTAAAACAATATAAATATCTGGGGATAACTCTTGAAACCAATGGAAAGTTTATTGAAGTAAAAAAACAATTGTATCAAAAAAGCTTGAAGGCATGCTTTAAATTTTATAGAGATATAAAAAATGCTAATCCCTCTATAAAAACATTTTTACATATCTTTGATCACTGTATTAAACTTATAGCTTTGTATGGCTGTGAGGACTGGAGCATTATTAATGTTACTCCAAAAAGAAAAAAAAATATCCCTCTTTTTGATATATTAAAAGACTGGGAAGTTGAAAAACTCAATATGAAATTCTGTAAATATATTGTGGGGGTATCTAAAACTTGTACAAATGTAGGAATCTATTCTGAACTGGGAATGTATCCATTATATATAGATATGTTAAAGCAAATTTTCATGTACTGGTATAGACTAGAACATACATCAACTAATTTACTGGAGGCAGCTTTCAATGAGTGCAAGTCAAACACCATCAACAGTGATTGGCACTCCAGCATATTATTCTACAGTGAAAAACTACATATTGATTTGTCCCTTTGCAAAAAATTAAGTGAAAACAAATTTAAATTGTACATTAAAAAGCAATTACATAATATTTTTTTAAACTCTTGGAAAGATATCCGTACCAATTACTTAGAAGGATTTGGTAATTAAGTACATATTTTAAGTATAAAAGGTCATTCAAATTTGAAAAAAATACTTGAATATGAAAAAACAGGGACAATCGGGTAATTCTCACAAAATTCAGAATAAGTAATCATTGCTTAAGAGTAGAGACGGGTAGATATGAAAGGATACTTAATAAATGTGGTAAAAATGAAATTCTTCCCAGGAGTGAAAGAGTCTGTCGTTACTGTACTTCAAGTCCAACTGAGGATGAAATACATTTTTTGCTAGAATGTTCATTGTATAATGATTCTAGAGGAGAGTTTTTTAACAAAATCTTCAAAACTTTTCCAAATTTAATACTGCTTAATAATGTGGACCTGTTTACATGGATTATGTCAAATGAAGATTCTGAGTTTGTTGTTTTATTATGCCAACATTTAAATGAAAATTTTAATATGAGAAAACAACATAGTACAATATAGGCATATTACATTCATTGTACATATACTATTTGTATACATTTTATGTATCCTAAAAGTTGACAGCTAACTCTCTGTTCAATATACAATTGTTTGTTTTGTTCTGTTTATTGTTATTTAGGACTATGATTTCGGACATTGTTCATCTTTATTCTCCACTGTGGGCCCAAATTGGTTGAATAAATATTCTAAATTCTAAATTTACCTTAAATGCGAAGAGGTTTAGGATTGTAAAATCGTTACAGTTGATGCAGCTTGAGGCCTTGAAAAATGTAGACCAAAAATAGGCTGCAGTGACCTTCTTTTTGATTTTTGCAGGCATTTATTTCAAGTTGTATTTGATACATATTTTGGACTTTAAGAATCAAACGATCTTCAAACTTTGTCAGAGTATTCAATTTAAGACTTAGGTACGTTGAATAAAATGTAGGTCAAATGATCTGCGTTCTAAATTTTGTAATGAATTATATTCAATTTTTTCAACACAATATCTATACGAAAATGTTTAGAATCATCAATCATTGTCACTTAATGCCTTAATGCTTTGAAGTAGGTTGCAATGACCCACTGTACTTTTCGAATTTTATGGCCTAAAATTTTGAAATCATTTAATTTATATATTTCGAATACAGTGACACCTAGGCTCAGCAAATCTAGTAGGTCACAGTGATCTACAAATTAAATGGTATCACTATTCATTGTCACAGCTTTTTAACTTTGGACTAATAGACTGAGAGCCATCATATCCTATCAGCTGATATGCTTTGGGGCCTTGGGATACGTAGACCAAACAAGAAGATCACAACGACAATGTTGTACAATTTATCAGAAGAGTGATTCTAGGATCTTGGGTCTATTGATATTATTATTTGTAAATTTTGAGCTAAAATAAAAATAAATGTTTTGACGTTCAACAGATTACTTTGAATTCTGGTTGAAGTCGATTCACACGTATTGTTCGCAGCCAACTGAAAAAGAGGAGAATGTTGATGTTATGATAGTTGTAACGCATTGGGAAAACCGCATCGACCAGGTACAATGAAAGTAAAGTGTATTTGAGCATAGGTACATGTATTTAAAATTAAATAACCTATCTTCTCCACATTGAAAGTTTAATACTTCTCTTTTCTGTACATTGTAAGTCTATTTGAGTAAATTATTCTAGGGAATATTAATATGAGAATTATTTTTCACAGCCCTTGGAGAGTAAAAGGTACATAAACATGTAAAGATATTTTTATAAAGTCATAAATGTTGATATGTTGTTGGGATTTATAGAAGTGAGCGCATTGTTAATTTAAATTGATAACAGTGATATGTTCAAGAACATCATGTATCAATAAGCCTGTTCTGATATGTATTACTTTGAATTACCTCAGTGGTTGTAGTTAACAAAAAATTGCACTTTTTCAGCAGGACGCAAAAGCCTTCGATAAAATTCTACGCAACACATTGTCGCCTCATTCAAATCTGGGACAGTATATCGGAGAGAATTCTTTGTTCTATGCACAGTTTCCGTTAGAACCCTTAAAGGAACTTGAAAAATTCATTGTTGATCTTGCAATGTCGAGAAAATGGAGTGAAAAAATACCTTACGAATGGAAGTTTTTGAATCAAGAGATAGAGGACAAAAGAATGATCAAGCGTATCATGCCTTTTTCTGATGTTTGCAAAAGAATGCCAGTTAATGAAAATGAAAAAAATGAGAGCACAAAGGACATGTTGCGATACTATCACGACGCTGGAAAAGTCCTTTACTTCAATGAAGAAGGACTCAAAGAGACAGTTATCATTGATGTCCAATGGTTTGTTGATGCGTTTAAAAACATTATAACAGATGCTAATCACGTGAAAGGAATAAATACAGTTAAACTTATATGGGACGAATACTACACCACAGGAAATTTACAGTCCGATCTTTTAAGCAGAATTTGGGAAAAAGCAGATGAAAAATTGTTGAAATCCTTGATAAAGGAAAACGCATCAATTGAAAAGGACGATCCTCGTTTTCTTTTGCATCACAAAGAAGTTCTGTTATCATACATGCAGAGGCTTGGTTTGATAGCGATTGGCGAAACATCTCATTACGTGCCTTGCATGAACAAAAAGCCCTTCGCTGACCAACAGATGGATATCATTAAAAAAGCACCTCTGAGGTCCACTGTTTTAGTGTTTTTATTCGATTTTTTGCCGTTCTTTCTTTTCTATCGGCTTGTCGTAAAACTAATGGTCAATAGAACCTTTAAAGTTCTAAGGAACAAAGATATAAGTTGTTTGTATAAAAATGCTGCTTTGTTTAGTTACAAAGATCACAATATTGCTGTAGCAGTGACATCAACCACAATTCAACTGCAAATTTATCAGCCCGAGTCAGGCCTCAAGTTAAAGAAGAAAGTCACATTGTTTATTAGACAAAATATTGAACAGGTAATGGAAGATATTACCACAACTTTTCATAAACATCTATCATATAGAATAGGATATACCTGTGACGAAGAAGAAGACCAAATACTGGGTAAAGGGATGACACACAACTTCATTGATGAGACTGAACTGAAAGCAAGGAAAAAAATGACGTGTCCTAATCATCAAATGGAAAATCGCCATACGATCAATCCTAAATATTTGCGAGATTACTGGAATTAAAGTTTAAAGGAGTGATCAAAAGTACAGCATATCTATCACCTCCCATCAAATGTTTTTCACTGAACGAAAACAAAGACTTTCGTCGGGCAGTGCAATTTCCATTACAGTATTTATGCTGAACGAGGCTTTGCTTTAGATTCCTAATAACGCGGAAACCCTAATAAAAATGCACTGTAGTAAACTGTAGTTAATACTTTGATACTTGGAGGTGCTGTGAAACTCAACTCCAGAATTCTTTTTAGATTTAGAGCCATATTTTTTTTCTTCATTTTGAGGCCAATAATTAAAGTAAGGGAATTATATATGAATATACCTGTATTATTTTTTTAATATAATGAATTTGTGTATAGAAGTTAAAGAACACGTAATTTAACAGTTTGAAATTCAAAGTGACCGCAAGTGCGAAAGAGGGGCCCGATGAGTAAAAAAAGTCAAATTAATTTTATTGTTTATTAGTCCCCTACCGGTGAAACCGGAGGGGACTATAGGTTTCCTCTGAGTCTGTCCGTCCGTCCGTCCGTCTGTCTGTCCGTCTGTCTGTCTGTCCCTCTGTCTGTCTGTCTGTCAGTCTGTCCCACTTGGTTTTCCGCACTTTTTTTCTAAACGCTTGGAGATATTGAGCTGATTTTTGGTATGTGTGTGTATCTTGATGAGTTACAGATCAAGTTTGCATTTCGTTCCGCTTCAATGATTTATGACCTTTTCAATTTTTCAGGGTTTTCCGCAATTTTTTTTTCTAAATGCTTGCAGTTATTGATCTAATTTTTGGTATGTGACTTTACCTTGATGAGTTATAGATCAAGTTTGCATTTCGTTCCGCTTTATTGATTTTTGATGGAATTATGGCACTTTCAATTTTTTACGGGAACCAGATTACACTTGCAGGTAGGGGACTAGTATTGCTAATACAATACTCTCAGAATGATTATTTAACAGGGATATTTTTTTAAGAACACACATAGAAAATTTCATTTATATATTTAAAAAAAAAATAAACAAAGGCATCTCACCATTTGTCTCATAACATCATCTTACATGTAACGTCGTCTTCTGATGATCAAACACATTTCACACTTTCAGTCTATATCCGAAACAATTTTTCGTAACATTTGCCTAGATATGGGAAAGAAATTAATCATTAAATGTACCATTTAATCAATATGTAATTAAAACAATGGGATTTGGCAGTGTGATTAAATCCTTAAATTTTCTACCTGCATTCTAAACCTCAGTAAAGTAGAGAAAAAAAAGGAAACATAATTAACAAATTAACCAAATATTTATTGTTATTAAAACAATCAATAAACTTTAGAGGTGCAAAATTAATAAGTTAAACATGGAAATTGAAATGTTATTCCAATATCAAAAAGGTTATTATTTAGCCATGACAAAATACATCATTAATCACGTAACGTATTATCTACCTATTGACACGGGCATCAGATCATGTGGCCGCTGTAAATAAAAAAAAACCCAAATGAATACCAGATCACTATCAATAAAACTTTTAACAGGCAATTATAAAATTACAAGCATTTATATGTTAAAGTAGGGTTCTACTCATATGGCAAACTAGAAGCCAGATTAAATCGTTTTCGGTTTTAAAGTTACGGTTCATATAGCATTAAAAATGTAAACAAGGTTTGCAGAAATGTTGGAGTGGGTGTAGAAAGATAAATGAGGGTATTTTTGTGCAAAAATTTAAATCAGACAGTAAGTAGCAGAACATTTAATCGATGTAAGGCACAATGCCGGTTATTTTAGATGCAGTGTGTATTTTTGCCCATTTGACAGGAGATATACAGGAGCTATATTGTACAACTTGAATATTTCTAATACTTCTTTGGAGAAAACATGGCAAATACATCAAAATAAGGATTTGCCCTAATGTCATCAAATAATATGTTTCGTGTATTGCACTCGTTTGTGCACAATCAGTATGCTGTGCAGGTGGAATTTTCCTTCTTTCGTTTTTAACTCTAAATTTTCTACATATGAACGATGGTTCCAAGTTATAAAAAAGTCAACACAGGCTACTAATGAGATATCTGGATTCATAAACATAATTTTTGCATAAAAGACATTGTATCTCTTGCTTATCATGTTTTTTTTATTAGTAGTAATAAAAATCCAAGAAAGTCGGTTCAGTAGTGATGGACGTGTTCTCAGTATATATATTGACTATTAAAGTTTGAATAAAAATTTTATGCCTGTGTTTAAGAAAGGATGTGTAATTTTTTATGTAATTGTTCTTAAAAAGAATATTTCACTTTTTTTTGCTGATTTATAAGTATTTTTGTCACCATAAAGCCTTGAGCTATTAACCTGCTATGGGGGTACCTATATGTTTTACCTCATATCTCGATAAAAAGGCAGTTGACCAACGCATTTTTTATGCTATATACAGATACTTTAAGCATCAGTTGCAATAAATCAAGACAAAAATTCAGGATAAACACATGAATTATTCTATAGCTTTATTTGAGCTTGAGCTTTGTTAATTTAATAGCATATGAAATAGATTCTTCAATATTTTCTTAGTTTAAACCAGAAATGAGTACTTTTGCTAGTAATTATTCCAAATTATTATTATTCATTTGATTTATATTAAAAAAGAATTTATTTGCCATGTGCAATAATGTAAAATACAGACTGTCCTGAAATCAGTCTTGAATTTGTTAGTGGCACAAGTAGGTAAATAAGTGTTTCACACTCTATCGCAGTAAAAATACAGTTGATATATGTGTTTTTGTGCTTTTGAAGTACATAAGGTATTTGTTAATGTAAATTAGGTCAAAAAATACACTGTTAACACAAAATTCTGCTAGTGAAGCCTACCTTAAAGTATATCAAAACTTGAAATAAAGCTTCAGTAGTCAAATAAATAAATGTAATCAGGAATTTCAGGGATGTAGTCTAAATTTCCTCTGCATTTCAATAAATCTATCTATATAAATCTCAACTCGATGTTGCATATTTTCGTCACTTAGTAGAATTATTAATTTTTAATATTAATATCATTTATTGCCTGGTTATTTTGTCTGTGTGAAACAGGTTTAAATTTAAGACGTCTTACTTCTTACCATTCCGTTTCTGTTACACCAAACCCCGTGTAAACCTCATTCTTTAGGTTTGATCATTTGATTGTGGATTCGGAAATTTCACTGCCTTTTATATTGCAGCTTTGTTAAACTGTACAGCTTAACGATAAGCGCCAGTTTCGCTGCTATTTGTTAAATATAGAGACGACGTGTTTATACATTTTTTAATAAATATTTTTTCATTCATTAACTCATTTTAAAATTACATTTTTTCTAGTGAATGTCATGATTATGTGTATGGATGGTATATAAATTACAAATTTGATTATACATATAGTGCATTATAGCTCTTGCATATTTTTAGATTCTCTTTGAAATCTGTAACTGATGGTAAAATGTTTTAATTGTAGAAATTGCATTTTTGCAGATACTAGTATTTTCTAATCCTTGATTTTTTTCCCTTGATATCAAGCTTATTTACGCATAACTGTTATCGATTTTATGGTTTGGTCTTAGGATGTGTTTTTTGAGTGTTGTGATTAGCTCTCCCTAATTTCAGTCTTGTAAAATTAATGTCACTAGGTTTCTCTATTTTTGCATCTTTCTTCTCCTTGAATTAATTGGCTGGTCAATATGAAAGTGTGCAGAGTTGTCAAAAATTAGATGTTTTTTTGTAAATCTCTGTTCAACGTGAAAAGTAAGTCTGTCTTTTATTTTTTTTATTTTTTGACATTTATGATATGTTGGACTAGCAATAAGTTCTCTACTTTAAACCAAGATTTGCAACAGCATTGAAGTAAAATGCATTGCTAATTTTTATGTTGTTATATTTACATCTTTTGAAAACATATTTTGATGCAATTCATTTTCAATCAAATTTTCTTTTATAAGACAATTTATTATACAATTCATTGTAAAAACGTTTATCTTTTTTTTATTTTCTGAGTCACTGAGATTACTTTTTTTCATTTTATCTGTTTTCAACTATTGGACTGACTGAGTTGAGCGTCCTGCAGGTTTGGGTTGTGCTTCGGTGGTAAACGTTAGATCTTATTTCAATAAAGGTTAAAGAGTTACACAAATGCCCATAGTTACCCAATTTTATTGGTACTAAATGATTTTTTTTTATTGAGGATTTTTTTCATGGCACTATATATGGGTTTATGGGTTCTTGTGTTCCTTCCAATTTTCATACACATAGTATTTCTTTTTCTTGATGCTTACTTTTTTGTAACTTTAACGATTTTATGGTCTTTTAACTAGCTCAGATTAGGTGCATTCTCCTTAGAATTAAAATAGAATTAAAATGGAATTATTTCGTAATATATTTCAGTAAATGGATTTTGTGGGTACAAATTCGTACTAAAAGAAGGTCAATCAAAATGTTGCATCTACGTCTTTTTCAAATATTAACATAATCAATTATGGAAATTGACAGTAAACGGTTAATTTCATAAGGCCTAAACCGGTATGCTTAAAAAAAAATCCGGAATTCCTTTTTAGGTCACCTGAGTCACTCAGGTGACCTATTGCTATCCGTTCTCGTCCGTCGGCGTGCGTCGTGCGTTAGCATTTGAACATTTTTAGCTTCTTCTCTGAAACCGCTCAACCAATTACTACCAAATTTAGCAAATAGCATCTATGGGTGAAGGGCAACAAAAATTATGAATGTCATGGTCCCTGCCCCCCTGGGGTCTGAGGGGTAGGGCTAAAATCACCAAAAATAATGCAATCTTTAAAAATCTTCTTCTTTACTCCTGGGCATCAAGCAGTCAAACTGTTGGCAATAAGCATTAAGTCCTCTACCAAAATTTTGAAATTCATGGCCCCAGGGTCTGGGGTCTGGTCCCAGGGCGGGGCTATATAGATCATATAGTGAAAGTGCATTATTTCTTTGAAAATCTTCTTCTTTCCTCCTGGGTATTAGATAAAGTAACTAAGTACATAGTTATGAAGAGCAAGAGTGCCTCTTCCAAAAT